CACTAAATTAAAGTAGCAAAAAAAAAAATTTAGAGCCAGGTATGGTGGCTCACGCCTGTAATTCCAGCATTTTGGGAGTCTGAGGCAGGCAGACTGCATGAGCAGTCTGAAACCAGCCTGGGCAACATGGTAAAAATCCCTTCTCTACAAAAAATACAACAATTAGCCGAGCACGGTGCACATGCCTGTAGTTTCAGCTACTTGGGTGGCTGAGGTAAGAGGACTGTTGCGCCCAGGAGGTAAAGGCTACAGTGAGCATCACTGCAGCCAGCACCACTGTACTCCAGCCTGGGTGACAAAGTGAGAACCTGTCTTAAAAAAGGAAAACAAATTAAGATACTATAACAATACAAGGATAATAGTTTTTCCACTCGAATAGATGTATAATATGAAATGATACCCTAACTCTTAAATTACATGGATGTGATGAAAACGCCCTTTCTGGGAGACATTAAACACCTTTTTAAAGATGAACTTTTATGCAGCATTCTGTTTCCACTCTTACTGCAACTATACTGTTTCAGTCATGAATATGTCTGTAAAATAAGTCAAGATATATCACTCTTAACGTTTTATTATTAGAAAGACAGTATGGACCAGGCGCGGTGGCTCACGCCTATAATCCCAGCACTTTGGAAGGCCGAGGTGGGCAGATCACTTGAGGTCAGGAGTTCAAGACCAGCCCGGCCAACATGGTGAAACCTCGTCTCTACTAAAAATACAAAAATTAGTTGAGTGTGTTGGCGAGCACTCATAATACTAGCTACTCAGGAAGCTGAGGCAGGAAAATCAGTTGAACCTGTGGGGCAGAGGCTGCAGTGGGCAGAGATCACCACTCCAGCCTGGGAAACAGAATGAGACTCCATCTCGAAAAAAAAAAAAAAAAAAAAGGTATATTTGTAGCTAGAAAATTATGACTTTGTTCTGGTCAGAACCTCTGATTGCTCTGAGACATACAGTGCTCTGGCTTTTCCTTATTGCTGTTCTTCTCATAAGGTGTCTTGTCTATGCTTTCCCCTCAAGATGCTACAGGTCAGGCCGGGCGCAGTGGCTCATTCCCGTAATCCTAGCACTTTGGGAGGCCAAAGCCAGAGGATCACTTGAGCTCAGAAGGTCAGCCAAGGTGCATAGCTAAGATGCCCCCCAATCTTATCCATCCAAAAAGTTTAAAAAATTAGCCTAGTGTGCTGGTACACACCTGTAAGTCCCAGCTATTAGGGCTAGGGGCTAAAGTGGGAGGATCGCTTGCATCCAGGAGTTCAAGGCTGCAGTGAGCTATGATCACACCCCTGCTCTCCAGCCTGGGCAACAGAGCAAGACCCTGTCTCAAAAAAAGATGCTACGGGTCTTTTGGTCATGGGGCTAATTTTACAGGTGAGTAAGTGTTAACATGTAATCTTCTGAAAGTAAGCTGTTCATGAAAACAGCTGCTTTTTGTTGGCCAAGCTTTAGTATTAACTTTCTGTTTTTCACCTTGGGGGAGAATAGAGAGGTTGCCAGAATCACTTGTTTATGATTTTTTTTCCTCAGGCTGGAGTGCAGTGGTGCAATTTCAGCTCACTGCAACCTCCACCTCTCAGGTTCAAACAATTCTCCTGCCTCAGCCTCCCATGTAGCTGGTACTACAGGCACACGCCACAACATCTGGCTAATTTTTGTATCTTCAGTGGAGTTGGGGTTTCACCATGTTGGCCAGGATAGTCTTGAACTTGTGACCTCAAGTGATCTGCCCGCCTCGGACTCCCAAAGTGCTGGAATTACAGGCATGAGCCACTGTACTCAGCCTCCTTGTTTATTCTTAAAATACCTATTTTATTTGAAGATAGACAATTTACAATTTATATTTTTCTTTATTAGAATAAAGATACAATATGAAGTATGACGCAAAACTCACATGAACTTAAGATAAAATACAGATTTAATCTGAACTAACACCACTAAGAATCTACTTCTGGCCCACTGGTAAGGACGCATCTGACCCCAAACAGCAGGCTCTAACTCCAGATCCCTTCTTCAGCACCTATGAAGCACTGTACTCTTTTCTGCAAAGGTCCAAAGCCTCAGAAAACAGACATCTTGAGTTTCTGTCAGGTTTAAACATACCTAAGAATCAGGAAGCTGAGGCTACCAAGGCTGCCAGCATGCAGCAAGGCAGGGCTCAGCAGGCTCCACCTAGAGTTACGTTCCAGTCCTGCAGCCTGCTGTATGCCTTCTATCACCTCAGTGGTCTGAGTGCCTCCCTCGGGACCTACTACCTAGACCAAAAACCTGAGGCCTGGAACTCCTTGACAATGATGGGGAGAATAGCGCATGACCACTGCCTCGGTTCCACTATGGCAGACTTATCTGAGCGTGAAAGTCTAGCATCATTCTGACAATCTGTGTACTTAAGAGGACCACAGTCATCCTCCAAAACAATACAGATGGCCTGCTTTACCAAGATCCAGACTGTGAAATGCAAGAGACTGTCAGCTGGGGGTCAGCAAGGCCTCAAAGGTGGAAGCTAGAGACCATGGGCGACTTGGCTATCCTGGCCTCTTTGGGCAGCATGTTTCTGAATCCTAGAGACCAGCCTGGAAGCTGCTGCTTTATCTGAGGAGGAGATGGATGTATCATATCATGTCATTATTCACTCAGTAGCTGAAGAAGAATTTAAGTATATTTTCCCAGAGGTCTTATACCATGTACTTCTTTTAAGTGATTAAACAGTAGACTTGGCATTTCTTGCGAATATTCTCCCAAATGGTGGCATTTGCAGTACAGTCAGCTAAGGTTGCTGGTGCTACTCAGAAGTCTCAAGCAATTCAACCGTAGGATTAATCTCCTAAAGCTGGAATTGGGTCAAAATTAAAATTGCAAAGCCACAGCCACAAGCCAGTTCTCAATCTGTGGGGCTGCTGAGGCTCCCAAATTGCCTTCCAGAGAAATCAGAGAGCATTCTTTTTAATCTAATGGTTGGAAGTCTCTTTCCCAGCAGGCAGGGCTAGGGTAGGTCTCCAAATTAAGGAATGCTGGTAAATAAATCTCAGCTATCTCTCTCAGCATTAGGGGGAAAAAGCAAATAGGATTTTTGCAATTGTAAAATTTATATTTGTGAAAGACGTGCAATTTCCACTCACACAAAAATCACAAGTAAGAATGACTGCCAAAAAGAAATAAAAATAACAGCCAATCTCTTTATTAGTGCTTTTTTAGGTGCCAAGCACAATGGTAACTGCAGTATATGCACTAAGCATTCTCTATTTAATTATCAAAATAATCTCCTAAAGTGGGTATTTTTTTCACTCCATTTCATACATGTGGAAGTAGCAGAGCCTACAAGTAGATTATGTAATCACTCTGTCCATGCTGCCTTCTCCCATCCAAAAATGCCACTTTATATCAGTAACTTATCAATTTGAATCACAATTTTTAGCACAATCTCAGCACATTTTTAAAAAAGCTAATGCCCATTAAAAATACAAAAGCAGTAGAAAAGAGACCCTAAAAAAGGAAAGTAAATACCATAATTAAAATTATTTTAATGTTTACATAATGGCTTTACATAATTAAGTTTTACATAATGGCTTCAAAAGACTGGCCAAATTCCATGTTATCTACAATAAACAGCAAAATATCTGCTGGCCACAAGACCAAATAACTATTATCAGCAAAAATGCTAAAATAGGGCATGCAAGAAGAATCATGCAGTTTTACCTATCCTACAAACAGATTTTCAGTCACCCACAAAGCCAAGTTGAAGCTAATATATTATAAAAACCCGAACAAAGTTAATTTGACCAAATGTAGTTGGCCTTAATGATCTCAAAACTGTGCCCTGCAGATAAACATAAGCCAGTTTCTTCTCAAATGCTTAAATGAGATTCTCGTTTAAATGTATTGTAGCCTGTAAAACACAACACTGCTAAGGGTTTAAAGTGAGCAATTTAAAAGTATTATTCATATCATTCACATCATAATTTACTCAACTTAAAGATAATTTCAAAAATCCCATTATTTTCCTCTTTAAATGAGTGCTTAAATATTTATTTGATGGTGATTAACAATTTTAGTGAAGCATTAACAAGTTGATGGACAAGAATCAAGCTTTGGTTCCCAAACTACTTACAGAGCCTAAGTAAGCCAGGAATTTAACACAATAGGAAGAACCAAGGATTGCATGCCCCATCTAAGACATTAAAAAATCAATTAGAAGCAGGGCGCAGTGGCTCACGCCTGTAATCCCAGCACTTTGGGAGGCTGAGGTGGGCGGATCACCTGAGGTCAGGTGTTCAAGACCAGCCTGACGGATACGATGAAACCCCATCTTTAAAAAAAAAATCAATTAGAAACCAGGCATGGTGGCTCACTCCTGTAATCCCAACACTTTGGGAGGCTGGGCAGATCACTGGAGGCCAGAAGCTCAAGACCAGCCTGGCCAAAACTGTGAAACCTTATCTCTACTAAAAATACAAAAATTAGAGGGCCATGGTGGTGGGCGCCTGTAGTCCCAGCTACTCGGGAGGCTGAGGCAGGAGAATCGCCTGAACTGGGAGGCAGAGGTTGTAGTGAGCTAAGATCACACCACTACACTCCAACCTGGGCACAGAGCAAGAATCTGTCTCAGAAAAAAACAAAAAAGAAATCAATTAGAAAGCAAAAACATAGTGTAGGCTACCCAACACTTGTCTGTAGGTGGCTAAATTGGCCACGAGTTCGTAAATCCCACATGAAAGCTTAGAACCAGAATCTGAAGCTGTTTTCCTAATATAGTTGCTTCCTGTCACGAAGAGTCTATATAACAGATTACGAATTAGAGAGTCCAAAGTAGTTTATATACAGGTGGTATCACTCACCTGCAGATTTCTTGTCACATATTTACATGTCCTGAGTGGGAATTAATCATAACATAGAAATAACTTGAATATTTTCAAACGTATTTTTTTTTTTTTGCTTATAAGCTCATAGATAATTGTTTTAGCACATAACAATGAACTACCACAACTGAAATGGCATTTTACCTGCTTCAGAAATCGGTCAGATGCGTGGCTGTGCTTAGTTAACACACTTGGCAGAGCAGGATTAGCATACTCAAACTGAGGATTGTAGGTATAGTCAGATTTGAAGAATCTCAGTTTTTCTTTCTCTAAGTTGGTGGGTTTTATAGCAGTCAATATACAAAATTTCTTCCCAGAAAAGTCATCTCCCTTTTCAAAGCTTCTAGACAGCTGAGGCTGTGACTTTGGCTTTTGAAGAGTGGAGAAATGGCACCGCTTGACCTTGCTTTTGGGTTTAGGTGGCAGTACTATGGCGTTCCCTGAAACAGAGATATCATGTGTAAACTTTACAGGACTTGACACTGAACTAGTGACAAAAACAGCAGGCCGCCTCTCCAGGCAGTACCAAGCGCCACTGCTCGTCGCAGGCACCAGGGCCTTCGTCCTGTGAGGGTCTTTACTACGACGAGTGTTAGCGGACTTGCTGGGTTTTCTACATCTTTTGGAGTAGGTGGAGGAAGACTGGTTTTGTGAATGATGCTTTTTCTCCTCCTTGCTCTGTAGTAGGACATTGTAACTACTGGTTCCAGTTGTGAAAATGTCTTTTAGCACTCCCGAGGATAAATGTGAAAGGCTTCTTTTGCTGTCAATGATCAATGAATCTTCTGCATTTAGAATAGACTTCTTAGCAAGTTCTTGCTCAGGCCAGTGAAGCTTTTCTGTATTAATAAACAAAAATCAAAACAAAAGAAATAACGAAGAAACCAGATGAAGCAAATTGTTTATTATAGGACAAGTATTCTGAGGATTCTTCAAACTTTGTAATTTTGCAATAATCTCTAGAGAAAAACATTTTAAATATTAAAAGGATATATTACTAAACTTTGGTCATGCTAGACACTGTCATTTCTCTTCTCTATAAGTGCGTATAAGTTAAATTATCTATAAAAATCCTCAGCTTCAAATCATTTAAATGATAAAAGTCTAATATGTGAGATAATATACATAAATAACCTGAATACTCAACTCTACTAAAGAATGTAGATTTCGGCTGGGTGCAGTGGCTCATGCCTATAATCCCAGCATTTTGGGAGGTTGAGGCAGGCAGATCACTTGAGTGGGAGCTGGAGACCAGCCTGGCCAACATGGTGAAACCCTGTCCCTATCAAAAAATACAAAAATTAGCCAGGTGTAGTGGCGCACGCCTGTAATCCCATATACTCGGGAGGCTGAGGATGAGAATTGCTTGAACCCAGGAGGTAGAGGTTGTGGTGAGCCAAGATCACGCCATTGCACTCTAGCCTGGGCAACAGAGTAAGACTCAGTCTCAAAAAAAAAAAAAAAAAGTGGATTTCATAGAAAGGATATATTTTAAAACAGTATTTTTAATAATAAGGTAAAATCCAAGGCACTTTCAAAGATAATACAATCTTGAAATTTGGAAATATATATAAAGGTACCTATCAGTAAAAGAACAAAGCCTTACTCGAAAACCACTGTTAAGTTTAAACAGATAATATATGCATCTTCAAGCATGTTTTAGTAATGTCACTTAGTATGAACAATTTCTTCATAATCATAAGCTGCATGTTAAGGTTAAAGAAAAACAAGGTTTTTTTCTTGGCAAGTTAGAAACAAATTTTAATAACTATTACGAAGGTATCAGTGTGTCAAATGGCAAGTTAAGGAGAGGGCAGCTCTGTATTTAGACCTCACAAGTGCTTTAAACATGTAAGAATCACTGTATACACTGTTGCACATTTACTGCTTTAAAACTGTGTTGGTTTGCATTCCTTCATTCAACAAATACGTAGAATACTACTAATTCAGCACACGGCTCTGATAAACAACTGTATAAACACATTGCTACCTATAACCAGCTACTTTTTTTTTTTTTTGAGACAGAGTCTTGTTTTGTCACCCAGGCTGGAGTGCAGTGGCGTAATCTCAGCTCACTGCAACCTCTGCCTCCCAGGTTCAACTGGTTCCCCTGCCTTAGCCTCCCGAGTAGCGGGGACTACAGGCACATGCCACCACGCATGGCTAATTTTTTGTATTTTTAGTAGAGAGGGGGGTTCATATGTTAGCCAGGATGGTCTCAATCTCCTGACCTCGTGATCCGCCCACCCTGGCCTCCCAAAGTGCTGAGATTATAGGCGTGGGCCACGCTTCTAATCTGGCTTTGAAGACAACGCATTCCTATGAGGATTTCAGTAATAATACAGTAGAATATAATTAAATGTGAAAAACAAAAGACACAGACAATAACCTACAGTTCAGATGAGGAAGGAAGCAATGTGAAGAGAAACAGATGAGGAGATTTCAAGTAGATCCTTAAGGGCTTTCAGACTCAATTCTAAACTGATGAAGAGTTTGTCTTAAATACAGCTCATCTGAACAAGACTCCAGCTCAAGTCCTGTCAATAAGTGTTCACTGAATAAACAAATGAATAAATAAATGACCCTAAACATGCAAATCATTCTGAACAAATATGTACTCGTAGTTCTGGGACAATTCAATGAGACTACTGCAGACATGAAAATATAACAGGAGAGACCCGAAACCAGTGCTTCTCAACAGAAGGCAACTTTACCCTCCAGGGGACGTTTGGCAACGTCTAGAGACATTCTGGTTGTCATAACCGGGGAGGGGCTACTGGCGTCTAACGGGTAAAGGCCAGGGATGCCGCTAAACATGATTCACTGCCTAGGACAATCTCCTAAATGTCAACAGTATCAAGGGAGAGAAACTGACCTAAATGTTGGTTTTTAAAACACAGGAGTCATAGAGTCTAGGGTAAAGAAACTGTACTAAAGTAGACAATAATCCAAATATATAAGGTATTTAAAAGCCTTTTTACTTATATTTTCTAGGCCAGCATGTGAAATCTGAATTCTGGTGTCTAAAAGATAACATAAAGGTATCTCTAAAGCTTGCAGGGGCTACCTGTCTACGACATGTATAAGTTTAGAGGTAGGAGCTACATCACATAGGGTCATGTTGAAGACAGGTTGTACAAAGAAGCCGCTCGATAAATGTTAAAGACTCAACAAGACAATTAATGGGACAAATAAACAAAATGTTCATTGTAGGCTGGTAGCTCCCAGTTTCTCAGGAGTTTCAGACTTAGGTGTTGCCAACTAATAGTCAAAACTGGGCAGGTCAGGCAAACAGGCTAAGGAATACCAGGACACAGGCTGTAGCCCAAACGCCCAGGAACAATGTCGGTTTCCCTAAAATGACACCACAAGCTTAGGAGATAAGAGGTGATAATGAAAAGAAAACCACAATAGACACAAAAAGGGAGGGTAAAAGAACTCAAATAAGCATAAGCCTAGGAAGCAGGGTAAGGACTAGGTGTAGCCAGAAAGGTAAAGGGAGGAAATCAGGTTGTTTTCCTGATTTCAGGAACGGAGTTACATCAAATTAAAATCAATGAATAAGACTACTCTCAAGAATTTCGGTTTTGATGATTCAGTACATACATATATATTATACTGATTTCTTAAAAGTGAATATTCAATATAAAAATGCTTTGTTTTCCAAGACCTAGTAGCTTTATGACCAAAGACTGAGCTTGCTGAGTTCTTCCATTTTGTCATAAAGTATCAGCGACGTTCAAATTCATAATTTTGTGCCATCTGAAACAGCCTATACATTTTCTGATACTAAAAAAAAGGTCCTCAACCGCCTGTCAAAATACTCAAGGAGGAGTGAGGTATGGCAGCAGGGTGACAGTATAAGCTTAACAGAACCTCTCTCCCCAGGAATTACAGCATTTCAGTTCACTTGCTAATTATCTCCTGAGAAGCTTAGCATCAGTCCTTCTGAAGCCCCATCTGCTGCTGAGTAAAGTTTGGGAGTGTTAATGGCGTATTTATCTTACAAATGCCAATCCTGCCAAATGCTGGATAGCCCATGAAGTTCATAAAAGTGGAGCACATGGCCCTTCACACAACTCATGCGAGGTGGAAATAAATTAATTTCTCAGAGTCACACTAATTGTATTTCAGTTGCCTTAAAAAGTATCATAGAACCTAAGAGATTGTTTTTGTAATTTTAAATACTATTTCTTATTTTGTGAAAAAACGACTTTTGAACATGCGTAAGAACAATAAGAGGCCGATAACATTTCCAGTTGGCTACACAATTTATTAAAGAACATCCTATTTTCTGAATCCTTTTTTCCTGAAAAATTAAAACATTTTTTAAGCATAAGCAGACTTATTTGGAGGAAGTGTAACTTGCGTTTTCCTAGAAAAGTAATAAGGTAATTAAAGAGCATACTTTCTCACATTAGGTAGTCATCATACGATGTGACACTTAGCTATACGCAATCTGTTTCACTATAATGTTGGAGAGAATGAAAATCATGTGTTGATAGAAGAAAAGCGTTCACTGCAACCTGACTACCCATACTAAGGAAAAAGGGTAAATAATATTGCTACATTAAAATTGACAGTCTCTTCACAAGTTAAGTGAATATACTGAAATTAGCAACACAATGAAAGCTTAATATGTATCTAGAACAGGAGAAAAGGATACCAAGATTCCTGACATCCATTCCCAGCTCTTTCAATGACCTCTCTGTAATACTAGCCTAATCATTAAACCCATCGGTAGCACCTGTTCCTCATCTAAAAGAATGGGGCGGGGCAGGGCGGAGACGCTGCTCTCTAAACGTAGTGTATCACAACTGTGAGTAGGTGAGGTTTCATAGTAATCAGGAGGCCTCTAGCTAAAAAGGAAGATCACCAGAAACAAAGCCTGGTGGCAAATACTATTCAACCAGTTTTGACCGACAAAATGGAAATTTCATATGGTTCACTAATACTTACGAAACCTGATAATCTGGGATAATTTCATACCACAAAACAATTGATGACTTGATTGCAAACAAAAGAAAGGGCAAAACAAAACAAAATAATCCCCAAACAAGATAAACACTTTAATTTTATCAAGACTCACATCACTTAAAACTCAAAAGAAGCCAGGCACAGTGGCACATGCCCATAGTCCCAGCTATTCAGGAAGATGAGGCTGGAAGACCACGTGAACCCAGGAGTTTGAGCCTAGACAACATAGCAAAACCCCAACTCTAAACAAATGAATGAACAAACAAACAAAAAAACCTCAAATAATATCTATCAACAGTAGACAGGATGAATGAATTGTACAACGGAAGACTATACTGCAATGGAAACTGAGGTTGTAAGCAACGATATGAATGGATCTCAGACAGTGTTCAGCAAATGGCGACAGATTAAAATATTAGATAGTGAATAATTCCATCTATCTGTAGTCCAAAAACAGCAAAACTAATTTATGGTATTAGACGTCAGAATAGCAATCACGGTTTGGGAGGAGATATCAGGAAACCTACTAGGTGCTAGAAATATTCTCTATCTGTTCTGGGCAATGGTTATGTATGTACAAATTCATTGGGCTGCACATTTAAGACTTGTATACTTTAAGTTACACTTTAATTTTTTAATGGTGTATAAAAATCAGTATCCTTAAAAACATATTTATTGCTCAATTTGTCTGCAGTATAACATAATCTGATAACTATATCTCTAAATTCAATAGCAACTAATGTAGTTTACCGACGTAAGAAAATGAGATGAAAGGCACTGCTAATGTCATTCAGGAACTCAGAAACAACTGTACTTCAGGATTCTTAAAAATGTCACAGTCCAAGCTCAGAGCAATTCAGTG